GTGGGGCTGGCAAGAAGGCATCTGCCCGCCCAACTACAAGACCAGCGTGCTCGCCTCCGGCCAGACCACCTGCGTGCCTGGTAACCAAAGGGAAATGGGGGAGGCGGGAGGCGAGAGTGAGAGTACGAGGGAGATGTAGTGTTGGGAATGAATGAATGGCAGCTTCTCGTGCCTTTGGCCCCCCAACCATTTCTTTTATTTTCTATTCCTTTCTTTTCTTTTCTTTTCATTTTCTCCTTTGTTTCTTTCTTTCCCTGATCCATTCTTAAGCACTGACCACGTTTGACATTGCACGTCCCATCCCTCGGCATGGCAGAGATGTCTACGAGCAGTGCAGCAGCGGTGCAGGGCACGTAATCAGCGCAGAGAAGGGTAGACGTAACAGATCCCTATGTTTTGCATGCCGCACATCTCCTCTCTCACGTCCCATGGCAGAGATGTCAACGAGCACAGCAGCAGCGGTGCAGGGAACATACACAGTGCAGGGGGGGGAGAAGTGTGGTGCCATATCTGGCTTCATCGGCCTCACCCAGGAGCAGTTCCTCCAGCAGAATGAGGTGCGAGCAGTTGGTTATAAGAGCAGCTAGCTGCTGCAGAATGAGGTAACAGGAGGGACGGATGAGAGTGATAAGGGCAGTTGCTGCTGCAGATTTTGACGCCTCAAAAGATGTTGGCATGCTGGCATGTTGGCATGCCGGGCACCTAGCCTGCTGTCAGAGTGTCCCACAATCCACACCTTGCTCATACCTCAGTCTGCTGCAGGAACGACTTTTGAGGCGCCTCAACCCCTGCCCTATCCTTTCCGCCATGCATTCAACCTTTCCCCCCCTTTTCTCCTTCAGGGCCTGGACTGTGACAATCTCAAGGCGGGTCAGGTTCTCAACAGCATCCCCATTCCCTCCATTCCTTCTTACCCCTTCCCTATATTTTGCCCCCCTCAACCCCAACCCCCTTACCCTCAGGGCGTTGACTGTGAGAATCTCAAAGCGGGGGTGGTGCTCAACATCTCCATCCCCTCCTCGGCGCAAGTGTGCCGCGTGCGCTACACTGTCACCCAGGTGCGTTACATGTCTCCTAGGTGCGTTACATGTTGCCCATGTGCGTTACATGTCGACCGCACTGTCATTCAGGTGCGTTACATGTCGACCGCTCTGTAATTCAGGTGCGTTACAAGTCGCCCTGATGCGATACATGTCTTCTAGATGCGTTACATGTCTCCCAGGTGCATTACATATCATGCAGCTACACTGTCACTCTCCTCCCTCACCCACTCTCTCTCCTCTCGCACCTCTCCACCCCCTCCTTTATCTGCACGAATATAGCCATCAACTCTCACTTCTCTCCCTCCCTCCTCCCTCTCCCTTCCCAAATCATTATCGGCATAAAAGAACGGTGATCCCATCGGTGCTCATTTCTTTTTTCCTTGCCCAATTCAGCTAGCAAACGTTGTTGCCACACAACCTCACATATGGCAAGGAAGAGTGTCATGTACTCAGACTCGATCGAGCTCAAATCTTGGACATTATGTTTGTTGCTCTCTCAATAGTTGTGCCTTCACCAACACAGTAGATGAAGCCTCTCACACAAGTCAGGTCCTCTGGTCCTAATGCCCAAGAACTATCAAAGAAGACGATAAGGTTCGACCCCTCGGATTCGACTCCATCCGCGCGCTTTTGACACTTTTGTGTGGCCGAAGAGCATTGCAGCCCAACTGTCGCCGTTTGGCCAAGATACTTGGTCACCCTCAATCCAGTTGCTACCTGCTCCTCATTGGGGCTTTGGACAACCCTGTCCAACTGACTGGTAGCAAAGAGCTGTGATCCCATCGGTTTTCATTTTTTCCCCTTCACCCTTCACTCCCTTTTCCCTGTCCACCCCCCCACCTCTCTCCCCCCTCTCACTCTTCCTCCCCTTCCTCGATCGGCGGCATGCATCCAGCCATGAACTCTCACTTTTCTTCCCCCCCTCCTCCCCCTCCCGTCTCAACCCCTTCCTCATTCCCCCCAGGCGGACGCAGCAGCAAAGAGTTGTGATCCCTTCGGTGCTCAATTCCCCCCCCCTCGCCCCTCACCCCCTCACCTCCCTTGCCCACCCCCATTCCCCCTCTCTTGTCCCCCAGGCGGATGCGGCAGCACAGAGCTGTGATCCCATCAACACCCGCTTCGGCATAGACGTCACCACCATCAACCCCAGCCTCGACTGCTCAAGCCTCACGCCCAACCAGCAGGTGAGGGGAGTGGGGAGTGAAGTGTGTATCATGGGCTTTAAGTGCGCTTGCATCGACAGCACGAGCTTTTGAGACAGTCTTAAATAAAGGTGCGTCGACAGCACAAGAGTTAACGTCAGCGATTGGCTCACGTGCTCCCCTCTCCCCTCTGGCATCTCTAACCCTCTCTTGCTCTTTTGTTCCTTCCCTCACCCTCTCCTCCTCTCCCTTCCCCCCTTCCGCAGATCTGCATTCAGGTGGGGGATGCGGTGTCAGGAGCAGCGGACTACAACCTGTGCACGGAGTACCAGCCAGTCAGCCAGTTGTTCACCTGCGCCAGCGCCGTCTCAAACTACGGCATGTCGTGGCTCGACCTCTACCGCCTCAACCCGGGGATCAACTGCGACTCCCTCGGCTCGCTCACCGCCTCCGAGGTACCTATTCCTAGGGGGGGTGGGGCTATGCGCAATGGAGGGTGGCTTGAGGAACTGGGTTTCAACAAGCGGGCTCCTCGCGATCTGTGAGAAACTGACTAGTTTCAACTGGTAGGGCGAGTCTTGGCTCAACTTTTGAGCCGACTCAAAAACTGGTCGGGAGTGTCGTGGTTCAGCCTCTACCGCCTCAACCCCGGCGTCAACTGCGACTCCCTCGGCACCCTCACCTCGCTCACCCCTTGTGGGGTACCTATGGGGGGGGTGGCGCTATGGAGGGCGTCTCTGAGTTTTCACTAGCTCCGAGGTGGTATCAGAGCCAAAGGTCTTGGGTTCGAATCCTAGTGCGCGTTAAGTGAGCACGGTGCCCTAACAAGCCCCAAGCGAGAGGGGAACGACCCTAGTAAAGGGTAAATCGTTCTTCAGTTCAGTTCGGAAGGACTACATGTGTGTACTGGGAGGTTAATGGGTGTGCTACCCATTATACAAGCATGCCATTTTAACCTAATCGGCAGCAAGTCGGGCCAACAACACATAAGGGGGTTGGCTCTAGTGATGTGGTGTTGGCGAGCTGGCACTGGGACCAAGCAGTGCAAAACTCGCCTTTTGAGGCACCTCCCTCCCTCCCCCCCTCCCTCCCTCCTCCCTCCCTCCTCCCTCCCCAACCCCCAGATCTGCGTCGCCGGCACGCCGTTAGGAGCGGTGGCGTGCGGTAAGGCGCGGTCGAAGACGGTGGCGAACCGGCGGTACACGGTGGCGGGGGGGGACAGCTGTGCGTCGCTGGTGGTGGTGCAGTTCCAGCGCCAGCCGCCTCTCGTGGGCCAGCTCAACCGCAGCTGGATGTGCCGCTCCCAGAGCCTCTTCGCCGGCATGCCCCTCTGCATCCCCTCTTAGACCCAACGGAATGGTGTGGCGTGTCGTTATGGACATTGACTTTCAAGACAGCACTTTTGCACTGCCTTTGAGTTTCATTTTGTGACGAGCATTTGCAGTTGAAGTGTGATGTATCATATGTAAGCTAATTTGATATGATGTGTTAATCATATGCTACCGGATAAGCCACATAGGGCTATGACCCATAATCATGAAGTAATAGTGGCGAAAAACTCCCAGAATACGACCTAGAGCTTAGTAGGTTTAAGAGCCATAGTGTTGAGTAGGAACGATAGAAGCGAGGGGATCGTGAGAGAAGAGAAGATAATTTCACTGTAGAAGCAAGTACAAGATATAGGAAAAGAAAGGTGACAAGAGGGGGTACACGACCAAGAGCCAGAGAATAAACATAATACAGCTATTTTGTATGCAGTATATAACAATCGTGGAGATGGTTTCCGAAACCGCACACTCACAACATTGAGCGCCAAGCGGCTGGAGTATTTATAGCCTTCCCTCCACCTGAAACCTATCTGGCTGTACTGCCATGCCGCAAACCTCGCTACCGCAAGTCTCCCTGCTCTGCTGCTCCACGCACGGCACGATGCACACTACGCCATTCTTTATCCACCCCAGCCCAGAGAGCGAAGTGAAGTCCGCGGTAACGTACGGGAGTCTCCAAACAGAACGTGACGGCTCGTCGGCACTGAGAGTGTCTGTGGCTTCGTAGGGTAGACCAGGAAAGCAAGTAGTCTCGCGTGAACTCGTTCAGTATACGAGTAATTCGACGCTGTTTATTTACTCGAATACGTTATACGATTCCCTCAAGCCAATCAAAGTACAGAAAGGGGCTGGCGTAATACTCGCAAGGGGCTGGCGTAATCCACGCAAGAATTACGTGAATCGCAAGGATTACGATGACGTCATCGTAGTCCTTCCACCTGAATCCCCTCCCTGCTCTGCTGCGTCACGCACGGCACGCTGCGCACAGTGCGCCACGCATTATCCATACCACAGCGTGAAGTCCGCAGTGACGTACGGGGAACATCATGGGCCGGCACAGGGTGTCTGTGGTTTCGTATGGAAGACCAGGAAAGCTAGTCACACGTGAACTCGTTCAATGCGTAAAAGGCATTCGACGTTGTCTTATCCACTCGAAGCGTGAAGCCTCAGAAGGTGCTTCGACCCGACGTCGATCAAGTTTGCGTCATTGCGTAGTAACAATCTCGCTCGAATCTCTCTCTTCACTGCCGCTCTCTCCCTGGAGCTTCTTCCACGTCGCCTCGACAGTCCATCGCACCCGCGGGCCGCCCGCATTCCTTCCTCGCGCGCATTCCTTCCTCGCGCGCATCCCTTCTCTGCCGCGTCCATTCCTTCCCCGTCCTCATTCCGCTCCCGCGCGCATTCAATATTTCATATTCAGCACTATATAGTGCTGACGTGTCTGCATAACGCGTAAGCCAGGCTTGCACAATACTGCTTCTGACCCGATGGATCGTCGCGGCTCGGCGGTTACACCCCTCGAGCTTCGACTAGTAGCAGTCTTACTGATCATCACTGTCGCCCCCGCCGCCGCTGGCCGGCGGATAGGTAAGCGGCTTACTATGCTGACGTGCCGGGTTGACGCGGCGCGCTAAGGCTGAACGAAGGCTGTGTTCGCTCCGTTTGGAGTTTGGAAGGAAACGACGCTGTAAGTAGCTCCGAGTTTTTCGTGCGGAAAGGCATGGCAACGCAGTGCATGCCACCGCGTGCACCGCACGGCGCCGCGCCAAACCCCGCGCCAATTATTCCACCTGCCTAATGCCGCTTGCTTCTTACCACCTCCTCCGCTCCTTCCTCCCTTCCCCCTTTCCTCCTTTCTCCTCGTTACAGACTCATCCGGTACAACGACAAACGCCGACTCCGCCTCCGCTGGCAGCGCGACCTCCCCCGGTAGTACCGCGACCTCCCCCGGTAGTACCGCGACCTCCCCCGGTAGTACCGCGACCTCCCCCGGTAGTACCGCGACCTCTGTCGACGCGACAGCTGGCGCGGCGGCATCGGACCTCTCGGATTTAGCGGTGGACGCGAAGACGCAGGCGGAGATTAGAGCCCTCGCGCCGCTGATGGGCAGCGCGGACCTGACGGGCGTCGATAAGCCGCCCACGCGCGCGTCCTACTTAACTAAAGACGCGTTCGCGGTGGCGGTGCGCAAGAGGATCGCGCAGGTGAAGCGGCGCGTGCAGGCGGGGGGAGGCGGTGGGAAGGGGCGAAGTGGGAAGGGGCGCGGTGGGAAGGGGCGCGGTGGGACGGGGCGCGGAATGAGCACGGGTAACAGCGCGCGCGGAAACACCACCGTTGGTGAGAGAGACACGTGATAAAATTGTATTTTTGAGACTTCTCAGAAAAGTGTTTTTATTAAAGTGTATTTTTGAAAAAGTGTATTTTTTATCGCAGCGCGCGCGGAAACACCACAACCGTTGGTGAGAGAGTCGCGCGGGGGCGCAAGGGCGCGTGGGTTGCGGTGAAATTGGGTCAAGGCCATGTGGGGTCAAGCGTGTGCTGGCGCGGAAGTGAACGTGATATTTTCTGCTGTTTGGATTGGAAATTCGCCACCAGGACGGCACGAGGGCGGCAGCAGGGCGGCGAAGGGGCGGCACAAGGTGGAGTGTTGCTGCTGCTGTGGGTGCATGCCATTTTTAGAATTTGAGATGTCTTAAAATCCGACTTTTAGCACTTCTGCTGCCGTGGGTGCTCTGCCGATTCTTTCTTCTCTCACTCTCCCCGCCCTCACCCTCCCATCTCAGGCTCCTCCCGCTCTCCTCCCTGTCCTCCCCTCCCTGCCCCTTCCCCCCCTTCCCCACCGCCAGACCGCAGTCTGGGCTACGTCCCTCTCCTCAGCACGGATCTCGCCAAGCTGCCCAAGCTCAACACCGTCTCGCGCTACCTCACCGTGGGTCTCACGCTCGACCCCACCACCCAGAAGCTCACGTGGGATTTCAAGCGCAGTGTGGACCACAGCTGGCTGTTTGAGACCGACGGCAACTTCGACCAGGGCAACTGCGGTGCGTGCTGTAGACCGCTGTTGACTGCTGTTGACTGCTGTTGACTGCTGTTGACTGCTGTAGACCGCTGTTGACTGCTGTTGACTGCTGTTGACACGTTGACAGACTTGACCCGCGTTGACTTCTGTTGACCTGGATTAGTTTCTGGCACAGGCGATTCAGGGCGCGTGCGCTATCTTCATGAAGACGTATCCATCAGGGAGCACGGATGTTTGCGTAGCGCCTGGTGGGCTGCTCGAACGCTGCTGCTGTGCTGTTGACTTGCGTTGACTGCTGTTGACCTGTTTTAACTGCTGGTCTGCACGATTCTGCGCGCAGCAGTTGCTGCTGCTGCTGCTGCTGCTGCTCCGGGTGTTTGCTCCTGCAGCCACCCTCAAGCCACAATAAACACACGTCCCTCCTCCCGTCCATCCTCCCGTCCTCCCTCCCTTCCTCCCTCCCGTCCTCCCTCCCGTCCTCCCTCCCCTCCTCCCTCCCCTCCTCCCTCCCGTCCTCCCTCCCGTCCTCCCTCCCCTCCTCCCTCCCGTCCTCCCTCCCCTCCTCCCTCCCCTCCTCCCTCTCCTCCCTCCCCGCCCAGGTTCCTGCTGGGCATACGCCGCATATGCTCTCGTAGCGAATCCTGACTTGTTGCCTCGCGGGGCAGGGCTCTTATTGCAGCAGCTCCCTCCTCAACTCAAGCACCACAACACCCTTCTCCCCTTCCCTTCCCCTCCGCCCTCCCCGCCCAGGTTCCTGCTGGGCCTCTGCAACGGCCAGGGAAATCCAGGCCGCGTATGCTCTCGTGGCCCGCACTGACTCGTTCCCCGGCGGCACAAGGCTGTCCGTGCAGCAGCTGGTGGACTGCACGGGCGCTGCTGCTACTCTTGTTGCTGCTGCACTGCACCACACTGCACCGCACTGCACTTGTGCTGCTGCACCTGTCTCCCTCCTCAACTCAAGCAGCACAACACCCCTCTCCCCTTCCCTTCCCCTCCGCCCTCTTCTCCCAGGTTCCTGCTGGGCGTATGCAACAGCCAGGGCAATCCAGGCCGCGTATGCTCTCGTCGCGAATCCGGACTCCTTCCCCAGCTGGACTCGGCTGTCAGTGCAGCAGCTAGTGGACTGCACTGGCGCTGCTGCCACGTGCCGGGGGGGGTACCCCGAGGCTGCCCTGCAGTACGCGGCCAAGAACGGGCTGCAGGATGAGGCGGGATATGCCTACACGGGTGTGGACACGAAGTGCGGCGTGAAGAAGGAGTTGGTGAGTTCTGAGTCGAGTCAGTCAACAGTCGAGTCAGCCAGTCGCCTCCGTACCCCGAGGCTGCTCTGCACTACGCGGCCAAGATCGGGCTGCAGTGTGAAGAGAAGAGGGATATGTTTACACGGGGATGACCGGCAAGTGCGGCGGCGCCAAGAAGGAGACGGTGAGTTTCTGAGCTGAGTCAAGAGGTACCTTGGTACCCACCCTAAGGCAGCAGCAGCACTGCAGTATGCGGTCAAGCAAGGGCTGCAGCACTACAGTATGAGGAGAGCTACCTCCGATGAGGTTCAGCGGCCAGTGCAGCTTCAAGAATGCCCCTCACCCATGAACGCTGCACTTGGCGCTGTTGAGGATTCTCAAAAGTGACTCCCTCACCCATGAACGCTGCACTTGCCGCTGCCCCTTGCTCTAGCATGTCCCCCCCGTGTGAGGGCTCGATGTACGAGCAGGTGCCTCTACCTTAACGTGTGCCTCTACCTTGACGTGTGCCTCTACCTTAACGTGTGCCTCTACCTTAACGTGTGCCTCTACCTTAACGTGTGCCTCTACCTTGACGTGTGCCTCTACCTTAACGTGTGCCTCTACCTTAACGTGTGCCTCTACCTTAGCGTGTGCCTCTACCTTAACGTGTGCCTCTACCTTAACGTGTGCCTCTAACTTAACGTGTGCCTCTACCTTAACGTGTGCCTCTACCTTAACGTGTGCCTCTACCTTAACGTGTGCCTCTACCTTAACGTGTGCCTCTACCTTAACGTGTGCCTCTACCTTAACGTGTGCCTCTACCTTAACGTGTGCCTCTACCTTAACGTGTGCCTCTACCGGGGGCGCTGGGGCTGGCGTGGCGGCTGGCCAATGCTCCCTCCTTCTTACCGTGTTCTTTTTCTTCCCTACCACTCCTCACCCCTCTCCACCGTTCTCAGCCCAAGTACAACATTACCATGTACGAGCAGGTGCCGCTACCGGGGCCGCTGGGGCTCATTCTCGCGCTGCAGAAGCAGCCCGTTATCGTCACCATCCGCGCCTCCTCCCAAGACTTTATTGACTACTCGGTGAGTTGGTGTCTCTCCCTCCTCTTCCGTCCTCCTGCCTTCGCCCCTGCCTTCGTGGGACGCTCTAAGAACCATCCGCGCCTCTTCAGAGGATTTCATCAACTACCCGGTGAGTTCAGGTTATGCTGCTGCTCACGCTGAGTTTGCCTTGAGAGCCAACTCTAAAGTCATTGCGCTGCAGAATCAGCCCGTTATCGTCACCATCCGCGCCTCTTTAGAGGATTTCATCAACTACCCGGTGAGTTCAGGTTATGCTGCTGCTCACGCTGAGTTCGCCTTGAGAGTCGACTCTAAAGTCATAGCGCTGCAGAATCAGCCCGTTATCGTCACCATCCGCGCTGGGAGAACACGTCTTCTCTTCCCTCCCCCATCCCACCCACCCACCCACCCACCCGCTTTCCCTTCACAGGGCGGCATATACGAGGGCGTATGCTGCTACAGCCCGCTGGGGACGGTATTGCATAGCGGAGGAAGAGGAGAAGGAGGCGATGGGTACGAAGCGACGGCCACAGCGACGAACAACACGGGGCTGCTGGACCACGTGATGCTGGCCGTGGGGTATAACTATGATGCGCCCGGCAGCTGGGAGAACTACTTCATTCTGAAGAACAGTTGGGGGCCGCAGTGGGGCGAGGGCGGGTACATGAAGATTAAAATGGAGAACGGACCGTTTGGCACGTGCGGCATGCTGGTGAACCGCGGGCTCTACCCCGTTGTGAATGGTGAGTGAGGCAACTCCTTTTTACTGGGGTGAAATCCGCAGTGTGCTGTTTGGCACGTTGTCAAATCAAAGGTGAGGTGAGTGTAACTTGCTGGTTAACCGCGGCGGGCTGTACTGTACCCGTACCCGTCCCGTACCCCGTTGCCAAAGGTGAGTGACGCGCCCTTCTCCCACCTCTAAGCTCTCCTTACCTTTGGAAGGAGGGCCAAAGGTGTGTTGTGTTGCAGAATACTTTTGGAATTTCTGTTGGTACGTCACCATGTATGTATCTGCGCTCCTTAACCCCCTCTTTTGAGGCGCCCCAACACTTCTGAGGCCTCTTTTGAGGCGCCTCAAAGCTTAGGAGGCGACTTTCGAGGCGCTTCAACAGGGCATTCCGCCTGTATCCTTAACATGCCTCAACATGCATGGTACAGCACCATGCATGCATCCTTAACCCTCGCTTTCCCCCTCTTCCGCAACCCCTACCGCCCGGCCAGTCCCCCGGAGCACAGACTGGCAATGGCAATCCTCCTTCCCGTTTCCCTCTCCCCGCCCCCACCCCTACCGCCCGGCCAGTCCCTCGGAGCACTGACCCCTGCAGCACGTCACCCTGTGGGGGCGGCACGTGTGTGGCGGACGGGAGTGGCAACGGCAAGTACACGTGTCAGTGCACGGACCTGCTAGCACCGGCTGTCAACCGCGACGGCACTCCCACCTGCACCGTCGGTGAGTTGCATGAGTAGGCCCACCGACGGCACGCCCACATGCACGCCCACACGAGGGCTAACTGACCGCACCCCCACACGCGGGCTAACTGACGGCACCCCCACACGCCCACATGCACCTCAAGTGTAGGCCCTCATGTGAGGTGGGGTAGTGCCTCAGCAGCGAGAACCTCGTCGCACTCACTCCCTCCACTCTGCTCTCATTCCCCTTCTCCCCTCCCAACAGTCAATGTGTGCAGCATTCTACCCAACAATCCATGTGCCGTGGGTCGGTGCATCAACAGCGGCGACGGCGGTTACTCGTGCCTCTGCCCGCCCAACTACAAGCCCAGCCTGCTCGCCTCCGGCCAGACCACCTGCGTGCCGGGTGAGCTTTGGTTTGGAGTGTGGCGTGTGAATTGAGAGGAGGGGGGGGGTGAGTGGGACAGGGAGGGAGGAGCAATGGTGGGAATGGCGGCTACTCGTGCCTCTGCCCGCCCAACTACAAGCCCAGCTCCCTCGCCTCCGGCCAGACCACCTGCGTGCCTGGTGACCAGGGGGGAACGGTGTATGTTTTGGGAGGAGGGAGGGAGGGGAGAGTGTGACTAGGATGGGGGGAGCAGCGATGGGAATGGCGGCTACTCGTGCCTATGCCTGCCCAACTAACTAAGAGGCCAGCCTGCTCGCCCCTGCTCGCATCTGGCCAGACCACCTGTGTGCGTGGTGAGCCTGGGAGTGTGATGGGGACTCAGTGGCGAGATGGGAGTGTGATGGGCGTTCAGTGGTGAGGCGGGGGGAAGGAGGGTTCTTGCGAAACGGGGCGTGATTAAGCAATTAAGCGGTAAGGGAGAGTAGGGGCAAGAAGGAAAAAACAGTAGAAAAAAAAAATCCTTCCTTTCGTTCTTTTTGTTTGGGCACTAATTCATCCGCTGGGGTGCATGCATGCACCATATGTGACATCCCACTCCCACATGCCACCCGTCCCATGTGTGAATTTTGCTTTGCAAGCGGACTGCTTGAGGACGAAGCTCACCATATGTGACATCCCACGTCACCCACGTCACCCACGTCATATGGGTGACGTGGGATGAAGTTCACCATATTTCTTAGTCGACTAAAAAATATGGTGAACTGCTCACCAGTGGTGAGCTTCATCCCACGTCCCACACGTCACCCGTCCCACCCATATGTGCCATGGCAGACATGTCAACGGGTACTTCAGCAGCAGCGATGCAAAGGACGTACACCGTGCAGGGGGGCGAGACGTGTGGCGCCATCTCTGGCTTCATCGGCCTCACCCAGGAGCAGTTCCTCCTGCAGAATGATGTAAGGGGAGGGATGAGAGTAGTCAGAGCGATTAGAGCGATAACAGCAGTTCCTGACTACTCTAGTCGCTCTAATCGCAGAACGATGCGATAACAGCAGTTCACTGCGCAGAACAACGCATGGGGAGTGATGAGAGCAGTTCAGTTCCTACAGAAGAACGAGGTAAGAGGAGTGAGAGGGATGGGAGCGATGGATGGGAGTAATGAGAGTGATGAAAGTGATCAGGGCGATCCGAGTGACGTCTTAAGGCGGGCCAGAAGCTCAACATCCCCATCCCCTCCATCCCCGCTCAGCCCCTTTCCTCTCCTTGTCCTCCCTCTCTTCACTCCAATCCAACCCCTCCAGGCTCTCCCCCCCCACACCACCAGGGAGTGGCCTGTGACAATCTCAAGGCGGGGCAGCTTCTCTACATCTCCATCCCCGCCTTCCCTGCTCAACCCTTTCACTCTTCTTTTTCTCCCACCGCTCTCCACCCCTCCTTTATCCTTCAGGATGTGGACTGCGACAATCTCAAGGCGGGTCAGGTTCTGAACACCTCCATTCCTTCCATCCCCTCCCTGCTGACTGTCCCACTCCTGTCCCGCTTCCATTCTCCCTCCACCACTCTCTCTCACCCCCCTCTCTCCATGCCCCAGGACGTGGACTGTGACAATCTCAAGGCGGGTCAGGTTCTGAACATCTCCATCCCCTCCTCGGCTCAAGTGTGCCGCGTGCGCTACTCTGTCACTCAGGTGCGTTACATGTCTCTCAGGTGCGTTACATGTCTCTCAGGTGCGTTACATGTCACCCAGGTGTGTTTCATGTCACCCAGGTGCGTTACATGTCACCCAGGTGCGTTACATGTGCGCTACCCTTTTTCACCCAGATGCGTTACCTGTCTCCCAGGTACGTTACATGTCTTACTTCCAGGTGCGTTACAATTTTCCCTAAGTGTGTGTTACATACATGTGCGTTACAGGTCACCCAGCTACACTCTCTGTCTCCCCTCTCTCCCCCCTCTCCCCCTTCTCACCCCTTCCACCCCTTCCACCCGCTCCTCGATATTCACGCATTCAGCCATCAACACTCACTTCTCTTTAGTTGACTTAGAAGCGATTTGACCTTTGACTTGACGTTTGAGTCAACTCAAAAGTCCACTCACCCTTCTCACCCTTTCACCCCCTCTATATTCACGCATGCAGCCATCAACACTCACTTCTCTCCCCCCTTACTCCCCCTCCCTTCTCAACCCCTTCCCTCATTTCCCACAGGCGGACGCAGCAGAAACGAGTTGTGATCCCGTCAACACGAATTGTCCTTCATTGAATAGAGCAAGTCATACAGCATGGTACGATATAACGGCAAATACAGGCAGCTGTAGTCCCTCCCATCAACACCCTCTTTGCCATCAACACACACTTCTCTCTGCCCCCTCGTCCCCTCTTCTCATCCCCTTCCTCATTCCCCCCAGGCGGATGCAGCAGCAAAGAGCTGTGATCCCATCAACAATCGCTTTGGCATCGACGTGACGACCATCAACCCCAGCCTTGATTGCTCAAGCCTTGTGCCCAACCAGCAGGTGAGGCGAGCGGTGCGGAGTGGTCTAGTGGTGTAGAGCGGTGGGGAGTGGTTCGGTTGGTGAGTTAAGGGGCAGCATAGACTTAGATGGCTTTGGCATAGACGTCACGACCATCAACCCCAGCCTTGATTGCTCAAGCCTCGCGCCCAATCAGCAGGTGAGGAGTGCGGTGCAGAGTGGTCAAAGTGGTGTAGAGCGGTGGGGAGTGGTTCGGTGGTTAGTTAAGGGGCAGCATAGGCTTAGATGGCTTTGGCATCAACGTCACGACCATCAACCCCAGCCTTGATTGCTCAAGCCTCGCGCCCAATCAGCAGGTGAGGAGTGCGGTGCAGAGTGGTCAAAGTGGTGTAGAGCGGTGGGGAGTGGTTCGGTGGTTAGTTAAGGGGCAGCATAGGCTTAGATGGCTTTGGCATCAACGTCACGACCATCAACCCCAGCCTTGATTGCTCAAGCCTCGCGCCCAATCAGCAGGTGAGGAGTGCGGTGCAGAGTGGTCAAAGTGGTGTAGAGCGGTGGGGAGTGGTTCGGTGGTTAGTTAAGGGGCAGCATAGGCTTAGATGGCTTTGGCATCAACGTCACGACCATCAACCCCAGCCTTGATTGCTCAAGCCTCGTGCCAAACCAGCAGGTGAGGCAAATAGTGCGGAGGGGTTACTGAGGCAGCAGGTGAGGGAGTCCGGAGGAGGGGGTAACAGCGTAGGCTTTGAGCGGCGCCATAAGCATTAACGCTGACTGTTTGAGTCGACTCTTGTGAGTGTCTCATGTGCTCTTGTGAGTGTCTCATATTCTCTTGTGCTCTTGTCAGTGGGCTCCTGTGCTCCCCTCTCCCCTCGTGCCTCTCTAACCCTCTCTTACCCTCTGCTCCTCCCCTCTCCCTCTCCGTTCCTCCACAGATCTGCATCCAGGTGGGAGACGCGGTGTCAGGAGCAGCGGACTACAACCTGTGCACCAACGACCTGCCTGCCTCTCACTGCCATGCGTGCCCTCTTCCCCTCTTCCACAGATCTGCATCCAGGTGGGGGACGCGGTGTCAGGAGAAGCAGATTACAGCCTGTGCACGGAGTATCAGACGGCCACTCACTGCCACGAGTGCTCCCTTCCCCTCTTCTCCTCTTCCCCTCTTCCACAGATCTGCATTCAGGTGGGGGACGCGGTGTCAGGAGCAGCGGACTACAGCCTGTGCACCAACTACTGGCCGGTCAACGAGTGGACCACGTGTGCCTCTCTCCTCTCACTGCCATGCGTGCCCTCTTCCCCTCTTCCACAGATCTGCATTCAGGTGGGGGACGCGGCGTCAGGAGCAGCGGACTACAGCCTGTGCACCAACTACTGGCCGGTCAACGAGTGGACCAAGTGTGCCTCTCTCCTCTCACTGCCATGCGTGCCCTCTTCCCCTCTTCCACAGATCTGCATTCAAGTGGGGGACGCGGTCTCAGGAGCAGCGGACTACAACCTGTGCACCAACTACCTGCCAGTCAACGAGTGGACCACCTGTGCCGACCCTGTCGACTCGTACGGCCTCTCCTGGCTCGACCTCTACCGCCTCAACCCCGGCCTCAACTGCGACACTCTCTCCTCGCTCACAGGCTCCGAGGTACTAACATGATGGGAGAGTGTGGCTCTGGGGGTGTGGCGTTAGGGAGTGGCTTGAGGGAATGGGACCAGCTGGTCGGGCATGACGTGGCTCGACCTCTACCGTCTCAACCCCGGGCTCAACTGCGACACTCTCTCCTCGCTCACAGCCTCCGAGGTAACTAAGAGGGGGTGGGATGAGCTAGTGCAGGTAGAGAGGGGTGGCCCGCTGGGGTTGGCATAAGGAGGGGAGTGGCCTCAGCCCCGGCATCAACTGCGGCACCCTCACAGCACTCACCGCCTCCGAGGTAACTAAGAGGGGGTGGGATGAGCTAGTGCAGGTAGAGAGGGGTGGCCCGCTGGGGTTGGCCTAAGGAGGGGAGTGGCCTCAGCCCCGGCATCAACTGCGGCACCCTCACAGCACTCACCGCCTCCGAGGTAACTAAGAGGGGGTGGGATGAGCTAGTGCAGGTAGAGAGGGGTGGCCCGCTGGGGTTGGCATAAGGAGGGGAGTGGCCTCAGCCCCGGCATCAACTGCGGCACCCTCACAGCACTCACCGCCTCCGAGGTAACTAAGAGGGGTTGGGATGAGCTAGTGCAGGTAGAGAGGGGTGGCCCGCTGGGGTTGGCCTAAGGAGGGGAGTGGCCTCAGCCCCGGCATCAACTGCGGCACCCTCACAGCACTCACCGCCTCCGAGGTAACTAAGAGGGGGTGGGATGAGCTAGTGCAGGTAGAGAGGGGTGGCCCGCTGGGGTTGGCCTAAGGAGGGGAGTGGCCTCAGCCCCGGCATCAACTGCGGCACCCTCACAGCACTCACCGCCTCCGAGGTAACTAAGAGGGGGTGGGATGAGCTAGTGCAGGTAGAGAGGGGTGGCCCGCTGGGGTTGGCCTAAGGAGGGGAGTGGCCTCAGCCCCGGCATCAACTGCGGCACCCTCACAGCACTCACCGCCTCCGAGGTAACTCAGAGGGGGTGGGATGAGCTAGTGCAGGTAGAGAGGGGTGGCCCGCTGGGGTTGGCCTAAGGAGGGGAGTGGCCTCAGCCCCGGCATCAACTGCGGCACCCTCACAGCACTCACAGCCTCCGAGGTAACTAAGAGGGGGTGGGATGAGCTAGTGCAGGTAGAGAGGGGTGGCCCGCTGGGGTTGGCCTAAGGAGGGGAGTGGCCTCAGCCCCGGCATCAACTGCGGCACCCTCACAGCACTCACCGCCTCTGAGGTAGGGTGGCGCAAGGGGGGGTGGCCATGGGAAAGCGAATAGAGGGCTTGTGGCGCTAGGGAGGGCGCAAGGGGGGGTGGCCATGGGAAAGCGAATAGAGGGCTTGTGGCGCTAGGGAGGGCGCAAGGGGGGGTGGCCATGGGAAAGCGAATAGAGGGCTTGTGGCGCTAGGGAGGGCGCAAGGGGGGGTGGCCATGGGAAAGCGAATAGAGGGCTTGTGGCGCTAGGGAGCGCGCAAGGGGGGGTCCTGGCATCCACTGCGGCACCCTCACAGCACAAGGGGGAAGTGATGGGGTGGGGGTGAGGGGGACTGGCACTTGCAGTACGACTAGAAGAGGTACCTCTTAGGGCAGGCACTTGAAGGGGCGACGCTAGTGGGGCTGGCGCAAAGAGGGATCCAAACATTATTCCTCAAACCCAGGATTTTACTCAACAAATGCTGGCTTCTCGCACTCGTCCCCCGCCCTCCCCGTCCCCCCTCCCAGATCTGCATAGCCGGCACGCCGTTGGGAGCGGTGGCGTGCGGTAAGGCGCGGTCGAAGACGGTGGCGAACCGGCGGTACACGGTGGGGGCGGGGGACAGCTGTGCGTCGCTGGTGGTGGTGCAGTTCCAGCGCCAGCCGCCGCTCGTGGGCCAGCTCAACCGCAACTGTATGCGCAGCTCCCAGAGCCTCTTCCAAGGCATGCCCCTCTGCATCCCCTCCTAGAGTGGCAGCGCGGCGTGGCGTATCTTTATGGGTTGGAAGTAATACATCACATGCAGCATAAGTATCTTCGGGAAAACAGTGTCCTTAGAATATCAAACACGTTGTAGGAATGTGAAACTTATGGACCATGTGAACCCTACGGTTAGAAGTCAGTTAAGCAAGAAAAATTATTCATTCTAGACGTGTGCTCATGCCGGAGTGGTTAATGGGACAGACTAGAAATGCTGGGCTTGCCCGCGCAGGTTCGAGTCCTGCTGAGCACGGTTGTTTTTCTTGCCTGTCTCTCGCGAAGCTAACGGGAAGGAACAGCTGTGAAGCGAATGTACATTCACGCGAGCCATATGCATGATGGTGCAAAGCGAGGAAAGGTGAATTGTATAATTTCTCCCTTCATCCCTCACTAGCGACTGCACTCAATAGTTATCACTTCCCCTTTCCATCCCCTTCATTACTCTCTTTTCGTCTAAAAGAAAAACAACAAAAATCAAACAAAGAGAATAGTTGTCCCAAATATTGATCGACCACTCTGTCAAGCTGTCAGGGCAGAGTGCGAACGTTTTGTTGCCCGTATGAGCACGGGGCAATTGCGTGAAGCGCGCACGTTCTCGTCTGTGTGACATGGCACCAATCCCTGCATTTCCTGCCACCTACACCTACTGCACCGATTTTCAAGATTTACGAACCGCGATTTGTGCGATTCGAAACGGAACACCACCGGCACGGCAGCAACTCAGGAACGGACGGGCTTCAAGTCTCAACTGCTTTAGACCATTGGGAACCAGACTGAACCCTAGCAGAACATATGACGAACAAAGATTGATTCGCCCGCAACCTCTTCTGCTCTTAGGGCGTGTGACATTTTCTATTTGTTTCGTCCGGACGGCCAACCGTTCGGACATTGATGTGGTTACGAAAGTCGTTTAAACTCGCCAGGTAACTCGTCAATATTTGAACGACGTCGTAGGCGTCGTATTGCGTCCTTACGACGTCGTTTGCGTCGCAGAGAAACCTTGCGACGTCGCCAGCTTCGCAAGCGTCCGGACGTACGTCGCACAACGTCCGGACTTTTTAGCCGTCCTTCCCACCTTTCGCCTCGCATTTTGTCAGCATCCCATTTCATACAATTTCTTCCTCGGCTTCCCCCCTCTAACCTTCATTTCGAAGTAGCGATGCGCATGGTTCTGTCTTGCTCAATTCTTCAACTTGAAACCCTGATATCGTGCTACGCACGTTGAAGCTCATAGTAATTATCACGTAAGCGATTATCGTACTAATTAGTAGTAGTTCGGAGACGTCTCGTACCTCTTTCCGCCATGGCGGTTGCCTCGCCGCGGCGCAGGTGGTTGTACGCGTCGTGGTGCGCCTTTCTCTGCCTGCTGCTGCTCTCCTTTATCGCGACGGCGGTGGCGCCGTTGACAGGGCCGACAAAGGCGGAGTATCTTGCGGAGCTCGACACCCTCATTGCAAGGCTCAAGATGCAAGGCTGTAGCATCATGGCGGAAGGCGTGTCGACCTTCAAGGGGCAAGTCGGTAAGTGTACACTTCATCTATTTCTATATATATCTTCGGGTTCTCGTATTGTTCACGCGCTTTTATCTTCAAAACTTGGTTGTTATTGTCGGCTGCTGACGGTGCGCGGTGGGCGAGCTGGAGCTGCGTGAGATTGTGCAAAAATTCTTGTTAAAATCGTCAAGGAACGTGTGCTCATGCCGGAGTGGTTAACGGGACAGACTAGAAATCTGTTGGGCTCTGCCCGCGCAGGTTTGAGTCCTGCTGAGCACGGCTTTTGTAGGTATCTGAAGCAGACCATTTCTGTGTCTAACCTTTTCCCAACCACTCACATCCACACCACTCAGAGACCTCACCTCCCTCCCAACACCACGTGACCACTTTCCTCCATGACCTCCCTCCCTCCCTCCCTCCCTCCCTCCCTCCCTCCCTCCCTCCCTCCCTCCCTCCCTCCCTCCCTCCCTCCCTCCCTCCCTCCCTCCCTCCCCTCCCTCTCTCTCTCTCTCTCTCTCTCTCTCTCTCTCTCTCTCTCTCTCTCTCTCTCTCTCTCTCTCTCTCTCTCTCTCTCTCTCTCTCTCTCTCTTGCAGAGGATGTTCCCAATGCAGAGGATGTTCCCAAGACTTCGACGCCCTAAACCCTAAACGATTTCACACCTCTTCCCTGTGTCCCACCTCACTATCCCCCCTCCCTGTCCGTACCAGAGAAGGTACCCGACGCTGCCTCCTCCGCGGGCTACCAGGAGGTACCTGGTTATTCAGATAATAAAAAGGATTGAAAACGGCTTCATTCCACTTCCCTACGCCCCACCTCATTTTCCCCCCTCTCTGTCCACACCAGAGCAAGTCCCTGACGCAGCCTTCACTTCTCGTCCCTACGTCCCACCTCACTTCTCTCCTCTCCCCCCCTCCCCATTCCCCCCCTATCCACACCAGAGCAAGTCCCTGACATTTCCTTCTCCGCAGGCTACCAGCAGCTAACCTTCCTCGCACCGTCCGACTTTTCTTTCGCAAAAGCAGCTTTTCGGCCGAAAGTCTCTGCGGTTGATCGCGCAGAGATTGTGAAGTACCATACCTTATCAGGGCTCTACAGCTTTGCGCAGCTTAAAGCCCTGCCCAACCGCAGCAAGATACCCACTGCAGCGGGGAAGAGCATAATGAAGCACAGCGTGCGGGCCAGCTGGTATTGGAATCCGGGGACGAGTGTGGCTCTGAGCAGCCCGGGAGCGCAGCAGCTGTTTTGGGCGCAGGTGGACACGAGGAAGCTGTTCAATGGCAAGTATGTGAAGGGGCATGTCATTGACTGCGTTCTCGTTCCCAACTGACGCTTGTGGAATGAAGCAGCCCGGGAGCGCAGCAGCTGTTTTGGGCACAGGTGGACACGAGGAAGCTGTTCAATGGCAAGTGTGTGAAGGGGCATGTGATTGACTGTGTCCTCGTGCCGCCCAACTGACTGACGCTTGCAAAACAATCACGGCTCGACCCAGCTGTTGCGGCACTTGAGTTGCTGCATACCGTTGGTGTGCATGCTAGATGGGGGTGCCATACCGTATTATAATTTGCCACAGGTTGCATAGGCCAGGCCGCATGCTGTAAACACTTGTATACCAGTTTTGCAACCACATTCACATACCGGTAAAGTACGTCAACCAATGTACATCAGTTGCATGAAATCATCTCCCAATGCAATGTGAACAAGAGTGAGGCACGAGGAGTGGAAAAGAAATCTAACAGCCGGCGACGGATAGATCATGCACATCAACCCATAGGGGGCCAGCAGCTACTGACAATGCGCATGTGCAGATGAGGCACACATTTCTTTGGACGCTGAGACAGTCAGGGAGGAGCATACAGACATAGGCATACGGGCGGAGCCGCAGCAGCTATGGGGCAGAGCAGCAGTAACGAGCAGAGAAGCAGCCCGGTTGGGCACAGCAGCGGCTAGGGGCAGAGCAAGGCGGACATGAGAGTGTGGCGGATGACTGGGTCGTTGACCTGCAAGAAGACTCGCATCTCTATGGCTGGCAGCATGCGCCACACCTGGTGGTGCCGGGAGGTGCAGGAAGGTGAGCTCGAGCTGAAGGGAGGTGCAGTGAGGTGTAGTGAGGTGTAGTGAGGTCCAGCGAGCTGAGCTTGAGGTGAAGGGAGAAGGAGGATGGGAATGAGAACCATGTGATGCATTGGATGGCAGACCAGCATGCCACCTTTTGTGCCAGCCTAGCACACCTGGGGGCTGTGGTAGTGGCGGCACAGTGACCGCATGTGCCCCAGCACACAGCGCATCCACTCCTGAGTCTTCTACACCCAACCTGACACACCTTCTGCTACACCCAACCAGGCTGTAGCATCTCACCGAACTCAGCACACCTGTGGGCTGTGGTAGCGGCACAGTGACCGCATGTGCCCCAGCACACAGCGCATCCACTCCTTTTGGGCCGACTTGTTCGGCATTTCACCTGCTACACTCACCCGCTACACCCAGCCTAACACACCTGCAGCCTGTGGAAGTGGCACAGCGAGAGTATGTGTCCCAGAACACAGCTCATCCACTTCTTTTGAGTCAAGTCGCACTCCCCTGCACTCACCTGCTACACTCACCTGCTACACCCAACCTAACACACCTGAGGGCTGTGGTAGCGGCACAGCGAGCGCAAGTGCCCCAGCACACAGCGCATCCACTCCTTCTCCCCCGCAGCCTTGAGCCGCCTCTTGTGCCCCCGCTCCTCCTCCTCCTTCCTCCTCTCCTCCTAAGAGACGTGCTGGCTGTAGCATCTCACCTGCGGGCTGTGGTAGCGGCACAGCGAGCGCATGTGCCCGAGCACACAGCGCATCCACTCCTTCTCCCCCGCAGCCTTGAGGCGCCTCTTGTGCCCCCGCTCCTCCTCCTCCTTCCGACGCTCCTCCTCCCTCTTCCTCCGCCCTGCCAGCCTCCTGGACCCACCGCAGCAGACAGACATTGAAGAGAGGGCAAAGAAGGCAAATGAGAAAGGAAACTTTCTCGAACAGAAGGAAGGGAAAGGGAAAGGAATCTGTGACTCCCTGTAGCCCAGAGACGCCCCCTCTTATCTGCCCTCACCTGTCACTGCCCCCATCCCCGCCCTCCTCCCCATCAATCCCTGCATCGTCCCCCTCCTCCTCCTCCATTGGCTCCTCTTTCACCCTCCTCGCCTCTTCCTCCTCCTCCTCCTGCGCTGCTGCCTCGGCTACAGCAGCCCGCCTGTTTCTCACAGCCGTAGCAAAGTGAAGCAACTGAGCAATGAACAGGGCCTGGGGAGGGGGAGAGATGGAGAGATGGAGAGATGGAGAGATGGGAGGAAGGGACAAGGGAGGGGGAAGGGACGCATGAGTCACAGTGCTGCCTTTACCACAGCAGCCCGCCTGTTGCTGACGGCCGTGGCAAAGTGCAGCAAAAGAGCAATGAACAGGGCCTGGGGAGAGGAGGGGAGCAGGTATGGGAGTAATGGGAGAGGAGGGGAGTAGGGATGGAGGTAATGGGAGCAAAGGAAGCATGATTCAATTCAAGGTGCTGCCTTGGCCGCAGCAGCCTGCCTGTTGCTGACAGCCGTGGCAAAGTGAAGCAGCAGAGCGATGAACAGGGCCCGGCGGCAGGAAGGGGAGGAGGGGGGGGGGAAGGGAAGGAGGGGGAGGTGGGGAGGCGGGAGCAATGAGCAACAGAGGAATGAGGAGCACGCGAATAAGAAGTGGAGCAGCAAACATGACATGGACGAAGGAGAAGAAGAAGGGGGGGGGGGGCAGCAGGTCTATACTCTTCTTTCTTCTGGCAGCAGGTCTATACTCTTCTTTCCAGCCCCAATGGATACTTTCACCTCCACCCACGTCTGTTTTTTCACCTTTCTGAGTTTCCAACCCCTTCTCCCACTCTCATTCTCCCCTCTCCTTTCATCTCCTCCCCCTCCTCCACCTCTCTCTCATCCACTCCTAACCTCTTCTCATTACTCTCTCCTGCTGCTGCTGTTTCTGCCCAATCAATCACCCACCACTACAGAATCAAACCCATCTGCACTGCTCTCCTCTCACCTGCTCCTCCTCCTCGGCCTCTCGCCTCATCCTCTCTTTGCCCTCCACCGCTGCTGCTGCCGCCTCTGCCTCCTCCTGTGTCTTGCTGCTCCGATGCTGAATACAGGCAGTGGGAAAGGGGGAACACGTGGGGAGGGAGCAAGTGTGGGAATGACAGAACAAGAGGTGCTGCTGCTGCCGCCTCTGCCTCCTCCTGTGTCTTGCTGCTCCGATGCTGAAAGAAACAAGAAGCCAGGCGGAGAGGCAGAGTGGGAGAGGGAATGACAGTAGAGAGGGGAGGTGAGTGAGTGTGGCGACAGCAAGCAACAAAGGAGGTGAAAAGAAAGGTAGAGCAAGTGGCGCTGCTGCTGCCGCCTCTGCCTGCTACTGTGCCTTGACTCAATCTTTCTCCTCAGTGCTACTTTAGTCCGCATTTACTCCCACTCCCCACCCACACAATCCCCACATTGGCCCATTCAGCTGTGGGATCCTTGAGACGCCTCACACCCCCACACTCTACCGCACCTTTTCCCACCTATCCGTACCGCATCCGCACCCCACAGTCCACCCACCTTGGCCCATTCAGCTTTGCTTGCAGCCTGTGTTTTCGCCTCCTCTCCCTCAGCCTCCTCCACTGCCAACGTGGTAGCCTCCCATTCGCTGCGCGCCTTGCTGGCAGCTGCCGCTGCCACAGCCGACGCCCTCTCAAGCGCCGCCACCTCAGCGCTGACGTGGCGCAGGCGGTTGGCGGCCTTTGACACGGCGGTGCGGAGAATCTGATTTTGGGAGAAGACGAGTTGAAGGAATGGGAAGAAGAAGTGGAAAGGGGAAGGTTGAAAGGGAAAATAATAGGGGGGGGGGTTGAAAACGGAATGAGGGGGAAGGGAGAAGGGGCAGCTCGTGTGTGCGTCCGGGGTCGCAAGTGGAAGTGAGAATGCAGCAGTGCAGCTGCAGCAGCACAAGCACTCTACTCCACCCCACCCCACCCCACCCCACCCCACTCCACTCCACTCCACTCCACTCCACTGCTGCTCGAATCACTCACTTCTCAAACGCCCGCTCACCTCCCAGATGCGCTCGGACGTGTGGTAGAGCTCGTAATGTGCGGGGAGGAAGCACCAGTCGAGCAGAGCAATAGGGGAAACAAGGCGGAAGCCAAGGCAGCGATCCACCACCACTGCCGCCATCTGAGAGGGGCTTTGATTGAGGCGCATACGACAAGAACACTCACCTCCCAGATGCTCTCAGACGTGTGGTAGAGCTCGTAATGGGCGGGGAGGAAGCACCAATCCAACAGAGCAAGCGGTGAGACGAGGCGGAAGCCGAGGCAGCGATCCACCACCACTGCCGCCATCTGAGAGGGGCTTTGATTGAGGCGCATACGACAAGAACACTCACCTCCCAGATGCGCTCAGACGTGTGGTAGAGCTCGTAATGGGCGGGGAGGAAGCACCAATCCAACAGAGCAAGCGGTGAGACGAGGCGGAAGCCGAGGCAGCGATCCACCACCACTGCCGCCATCTGAGAGGGGCTTTGATTGAGGCGCATACGACAAGAACACTCACCTCCCAGATGCGCTCAGACGTGTGGTAGAGCTCGTAATGGGCGGGGAGGAAGCACCAATCCAACAGAGCAAGCGGTGAGACGAGGCGGAAGCCGAGGCAGCGATCCACCACCACTGCTGCCATCTGAGGGGCGTTGGCCCACACCGTCCATATGCTGTGCAGCAGCTGCACCTGCGAGGGCTGTGGTGGGGTGGGGAGGGTGAGAGTAGAGGGGGGGTGTGATCAGGGTTTAGGGGAAAGGAGTGTGCTCTCAACATTGAAGTGGGCCGTAAACGATGCCACCTGAGGGGCGTTGGCCCACACGGCCCAGATGCTGTGCAGCAGCTGCACCTGGGAGGGCTGTTGGGAAGGTGGGGGGGGGGGGGAGGGGGGTTGGAGAGCAGAGCAGGGGTAGTGGGCAGCGGGATTGTGGGTCCATGATGCCATCTCACATGCGATCGGAACCGGCTGCAAAGACAGCCCTTAACTCTCCAGCACGGTAACTGCATGGGTGATGCTCTTCGATCCACGCAGCATCTGTGCCACCACGTCCAGAGCGCGCGCGGCCCTTGTCCCCGCCCACCTTCCCCACCCATCAGGTGCTTGCTCCCCCCACCAGCAGCGTCTGCGCCACCACGTCTAGCGCGCGGCCCTTGTCCCCGCCCACCTTGCCCACCTTGCCCACCTTGCCCACCTTGCCCACCTTGCCCACCTTGCCCATCCAGTCAGGCGCTTGCCCATCCACCAGCAGCGTCTGTGCCACC